ATATATATATATATATATATATATTAACAATTACTATGAAAAAGTTCATAATAAACAATTAATTAAAATATCAAAGTTTTTTTTTCCTTTTATAAAAGAATAAAGTTTTTTTTATAACATTCATAAATGGATGTTTTCACAAAAAGAAAATTCTATATATAAGCTTTTCTATTTGATTCCAGTTAGAGCAGACAAAAAAAAAGTCGAAACAAGAAGGCATGAGATGCACACTACCTATTTTATATGGGTCATAAAAGTCAGACTAAATTAATACATCATATATTTTTTTTTAATATAATTTTATATGTATTTTAAAATAAAAAATTATCAAGTTAAATGGACTTAATACTTTTTTTAAGCCGAAATTCTACACATCTTCGACTTATCCGTATGGTCAATTTAGTCCGGTCAAATTAGCTGCTTTGTTTTTTTTTTTTTTTTTGTCAAAACAATAAGCTTAGTTTGGTTTGAGCCGTCGAGTTAAATCAATTTTAATACTTCTAATTTCAATAAATACAAAAAAAAAAAATATAAATTAAAATTCCCAAAAGTTATTGTTGAATTCATGAACATCATAATGCATATCAATAAATGGGAGGTAGAGGTATGAGATCTTGACTTAAAAGGAAAAAGAACTTCAAGAAAATCAAACACTTCTCTTTTTTTTTTTTTTTCTCAAATTTTTAAAGAAGATCTCTAATACCTGGAGTTCGGAGTTCATTTTCTCTTCTTTCTCTTCTCCCACCTTGGAGCAGCTAGCCGATCTTCTTCGTTCATCTCTTCTTCTTCCTCCTCGGAGATCACAAAATCAAGGTAAGGGAAGTTAGAATTTTTTGGATTTTGATGATTTATTGGGTTGCTGATTTAGTTAAGAACTTAAAAATTGATAGGATTGCTGGAAATCTGAGCTGGGGAAAAGGGATTTGAAGTGATTTGCATGTTGAAAATTGAGGTTCTAGTTTCTTGAGGAAGGTTGAATGTTGATGATTTTATTTGAGCTTTGATGCATGCATGTGGAATTTCTTGTGGTTTCTAAGTTGTATTAACAAATTTAGTAGAGATTATGAATGTAGATCATGTTTAGGGGTAAAATTGAAAGAATATAGGTGAGGAAACAAGGTGGGAAGCCATGAAAGTGTAGAAAACTTTGCACTCAATGCTGTAGCGCTGAAACTGTGAGAGAAAACAAGGTGGTAGAGATTCAGCACTGAGGCACTGATTTGAGCATTGCAACCCTTAAAGGAATTGATTTGGCAGAGATCCAATGTTGCAGCTCCAAGTGAGCACTGCAGCTCTAAGTGAGCGCCGCAGTCTTGGGAGAAAACAAAGCTGGCAAAAATCTAGTGCTGAATTGAGCGCTACTGAGTTGGGAGTAGATTAGCAAATTTGCTCTTTGGATCTTCATGAAAGTTGTATCCTTGAATGTTAGCTTTCCAATGTTGTTGGAATCACTCAAAAAGGAGGTCTATAACCCCAATTATGACCTTTTTAGTGAGCAAAGGTCAAGTTGTCAACATTTAGGCAAATGGTTGCAGTTTTTACAATTTTAACATGGTAGATGAGGGAATTGGAACCTGAGTTATTCATGAAAGTAGTAGAAAATCTTCTTGTCTATCACATGAGACAAGGATGGGAATGATAGGAGTAGTATAACTCCCTATGGGTTGTTTTATGTGAAGGTTGTCAGTGTAGGATAAGTGATTTTGATAAGTTACATGTGATACATGTTGTGTGATGGGTGAATTTGGTGAACATGAATATAATGTTTGTATCTATTGCATGTTGTGTATTATATGATGATGATAATAAGCATTGGTATGCTATCTTGTGTATTTGAAATGATAATAAGCATTGGTATTCTATCCTTGTTTAGTTGAAATGATGATGAACATTGATATGCTCTATATGATTGGTGTGCTATTTTTGAATGAATAATGGAGTATTGATATGCTATTATTGTATGAATTGTTAAGCATTGGTATGCTATTCTTGGTTGAGGTGTTAAATATTGGTATGTTATACATGATTGATATATTGATCTCTATATGCATTGACTAGGATGTGATGTATATAGTGGATGTATGGTGCGGTGTGGATGATGAGAATACGATGTGACATTAAAGTATAATGACTAACTTAGGATTTAAGGAGAGAAAATTATTTTGAAAACTGAATATCCCACATAGGGTATCTTGGAGAGGTGCTCAGGTAGACCATTATTTGAAAAACCCTTCTTGAGTAGGTGTGCCTCTTGGAGTAGGTTTTGAGGTGCGTTAAGTCTTCTCCAAATCCTTAACTAGTGGTTGAGTAAGATAGGAGGTCAAGGGCTACAACCTATGATCGTATCCGATACAGTGATACGTCAAATTTTAAAAATATAGGATACAATACATTTAGGATACATATTAAAAAAATTAAATTAATATATATACATATATATATATAATAGTAATTGCAAATAAATATCATTCAAAAATCAAAATTAAGAATACATTTATTGCTTTTTAATTTTTAAACATTACTAAAAAATTATAAATTATTTTTTATCGTCAAGAAATAGGAATAATATCAATTTCATCCCCTCCTTGACCATCATCTGTAAATAAGACAACTTCCATTTTTGGTTCATCAAGAGATAATGACGCCACTTCAAGATTTTCAACACCAGCAAAGCTACCCCATGCATCTCCACCAATGTCCCACATTCTAGTATTTCCGTGCATATATTCTTCACTTTTCCTAGACAAGAGTCGCAAATTAATATATACATAAACCAAGTCTTCTACTCTTTTAGGATTCAACTTATTTCTTTTCAAGGAGTGAATGAAGGAATAAGTACTCCAATTCCTTTCGCAACAAGATGAAGAACTAGGTTGTACAAGAAGCTTTAAAGAAAGCTTTTGAAGGAGAGGGGCAAAAGAACCATGCATTACCCACCAGGATTTAGCATCTAATGGTCACCTATCTTTAATTGAGTCAAAAGAAACAAAATTATGAGCTTTTAATGAAAAATCAGCATATTCAAGAGAAACCTTTCTTCTTTCTTCAGCTAATGTGAAAAGATTTTTTAAATATTTATTTCTTTCCATAGAAATTTCTTCATCCTCATGTGTGGAAATTCTATTTGGAGCCTTTTGAAGTCATTCATCACTATAGTACCTATGAATAAATAAATAAAAGTTAATAGATAAAAAAATTTAGTAACTATCAAATTATTCATAAATAAATTATAAAAACAAATAAATATTTAATAGGCTAATTTTACCTAGGATTCAAAGAGTGAGCCATGCAATAGAGAGGGGTGCAACTCTTAGTCCACCTATCAATTAGTATAGAATAAACAACTTCATAAAATGTTGATGTATCATTTAACTCTTTTCCTTCATATCTATATATAGATGTCTTTACTTTTTCTATCATACTATCCCACATCTCATAGACCAAATGAAGTATGGGACTATTTGTGTCACAAGCCCTAAGCATACTATAAATAGGCTTGGTGAAATTAAGAATATATGTAATTTTGTCCCACCACACATCATTCAAAATAAATTCTTTTGCAGCTTGGGCATTACCCACGTCATCTTCTCTATAAGAGTTCCATTCTTCACTAATAACCATCAATTGCAAAGCACCTTTCAAAAGTTTAAATCTCTTTAACATCACTAGAATAGATGCAAAGCGTGTTTCAGCTATAGCAAGAAATTTTAGAGGTGAAAAGTGATTACAAATTGTCAATCTCATTGAGTGATTCATCATAAAGTTGCTAACTAAAGAAACATCATCAACAACTTGAGTAATCCAATTACATTCAACATAAACTACCTCATTCCTTTTAGTGTTTTTGGTAGCACATATGTTCTTTAATGCATGGAGTCCAAAAAAATTTAGTAAAAGAAATTTCAACAATCATTCTAGCATCTTTGCATACAGGAGCATTATCTGTTATAATTTGAACAACATTTTGTTCTCCTAC